TCCCGGAAGTCCCTCCCTACCTCGACAATCAATATACGAGGATCCTTTTTCATCTCAGCGCCCTGTTACGTGTTTCAGTGTCCTAGGACCTCTCCTCAGCGCAGCGCAAGGATCCTTTCCAGTGCCGCTGCCCCTTCTTTCCAAAAGTCTCAGCGTCCGAAGCGATATATCCCGGCGGTTCCAGCGCTCGAGGCAGTTCCTTCGGAGGCCGGATGCGGGACACGCACCAGCCTCGGGCCAGGCGGGACTACCCCGGTCACGTGCCGTCCCGCGGCAACGAAGTTAGTGCCGCTCGGTGGCACTGCGGCTGAGCTGGTGCCGCAAAGAAGAAGGAACCGGAACCAACTGCAAACAGTTGGCCGACGGCGGATCGCCAACGGCCGGCGGCGATCGGCGACGGTCGACATTCGACGATCTACAGTCGATAGTGGACGATCTACAGTCGACAGTCGACGATCGACAGCCGACAGCGGACGAGCGACAGTGGACGACTGTCGGCCGAATATGTCGACACCCAACAGACGGAAGACGGAGCGCTGTCGACCGGACATGTCGGCGCCCAACAGCTGAAAGACGGACGGCTGTCGGCCACGGACGGCCGCCCTCGAGATGCAGCGGACGAGACGCTTTGCACGAAACCGTGACCGCGGATACAATGGAAGTCAAGCGACATGGCTCGTTGAACTGCACGGGTATCTGACAAAAATGACAGCACCACGCGGTAGCTCGAGACTGGCCGTGCCAGGTGGCCAAACGGCGGGCTCACGGCGCGGTGGATTTATTTAGTCAGGAATACAGTGGCAGCTCATGTCATGTTATGCTTAAGCTAATGTAGTGTTTGAGTTGTCATCTGCTGCTCTTCAAGTAAGACGCGGGCACGACATTTTTCCAATCGGAGGCGCGAGGCCATTTGAATCGTGCGCCGTGGTGTGGCTATGCATGTGGTGCCATGAACAGATTCATCTCCTGCGCAATTATCATGTCATGCAGACCGTATGCAAATCCAGCTTCACCTGGGTTTTCCGCCGTAGCAGCAGTCGGTACCAGACAGGTGATGACTGAAAGCTGCTGGTGGTTGCCCCCCATGTGAGCACCTCCTCTGGACTGGCGGCGCCCACCCGACCTCGGGCGCCCGGACCGCCGCCCGGCGGCGCTCCGGGCGGGCGGGCACATCCGGCGCCCTCTCACCCGGCTGGGCCGGCCTCGTGACCGGCGTGTCATGTCGTCAGAGGAGCGCTCTGACTTTCCCCGTGCGCCCGCCGAGTACCAGCTGCTGCACCACCGAGAGAGACGGTTCTCACGAGTCCTCGGCCCGCGCGCTGGCCGTCCATGCCACTCGCAGCGACAATCGGCAAAATCTCACTCTCAGACAATCCGCGGTTTTTATTTTGACACGTTGTTAGGCAGCACCGCTCTTGTACCGCTCGTTTTTGTGGAGTGGGCAGCTCGAGATCGGTCAGAACCCGTTGACGGCTGCAGGGCGCGATTCCCACGCACTGCCGATACAGGACTGGCAGCCGAAGTGTGGAATTAGGTAGGATGTCATGCTCTCAGACATCCGTTGGATGCCGAACCAATTGAACAACCCACGGACTAATGGATGACCGTCCCTCCAACCAGCTCGTCCGGTCCAGCCGGTTTGTCCGCATCAGACCATTCTAAACCTGCCGGCCCGACAATAATCTGTGTGGTTGATTCATTTCTCTGTCCTGGCATAAAAGTTCTAAAACTGATCAGAAAAGTTTCCCGTCAAAAAAGTGAAAACAATGCAGGTGCAAAATTGCAGCGCACATAGTGCCGGCATATGCGATAACTTCTAAACGGTTTCATAAACAGCCAACTAATTGTGAAAGTTCTCGGGGATCCACCCTCCAGGAACGCCCTGCTGGCGCCGCCGGTGGCCAACCCCGCCGACCTCCGTGACCCGGCCGACTCCTGTGACCCCGCGGTGGGAACCGACACTGGCCGCCGCCAGTCGTTCCGTTCCCGCCATTAATATCGCGCGCCCGACATCCGGTGGTCCCCAGAGCGGTTAGCACCCGCGCCCCATACAAAAACGGCGCGGCGGCGACACGAGGCGACCGCGGCACGAGGCGACTGTGACACGAGCGGTGCGCGGCCCGGCGTCCAATCACGGACACAACGACCGTGGCGTCACGCCGTCACGCCGATACCGTCACGTTACACCGATAATATGGCGTCACGACGGGGTCACGCTACTTCAGAGCCGATGATATTATATCGCGGGGACTTGGAAGTGCAATGATTATGTCGCAACTGGGTATGCAGGCCTGATGATATCATAACCAGAGGTATGTTAATTGCTTAGACCGTAAACGGATTTTGTACTAAGAACAAAATCAGGCTTAGCATGGTACAGAGAACTAAGAGTACGAGTAGTCACTTGCCAAATCACAGCAGTGCTGCATTTTTTTTTCAAAGAACATAGGGAAATGTGTGATAATTCCCATTTCACGTCTTATAAAATGCAAACATTTTTTCAATTATTAGCCCAATCATTTTTTATTTATCTTCATACCGAGTGATCTCATGCGGCCTCTGTCATAAAACGGTTTCATACACTAACCTGTCCAATACCTTGATCAGTCACATACCTACACTAACCAGCCACACACCTACCTGTCCCATACCCTCACCCACCCCACACGCCATCACCGAGCACGTGCGTCCATCAGCTCGGCGACGGCCGCTCGTCTCCGCCTCTCACCGGCACTCGGGCGTCCGCGCCGGCTCATAACCGGGCCGAGAAGCGCCAATGTCAGCCGTCACACGTGCGGCATAATTAGGACACCGGACCCGCTCCCCGCGGCCATATACTGGCGAGATGCGCGTCGTGCCCTGACTGAAGGGCTGCCCATATCTGCGGCATGGCGGCACCGGCTGCTTCACCTGACGAGCGGAGAGAGGTGGTGGAGCTCTAAAGTTGGACCGAACATGAAATTGAGGTGGTGGTGCAGGAAGATAGTCAGTGCTAGGCGGACTCGGTCATGAGGACGCGTATAAAGACAAGGAACCAGTACCAAGCAGCGAGGATAGATAGAGATTGACGGGGCACGCAAGAGCTCTGGCCTTTTTGGTTCCACGAGTTTTCTCAAGAGTTCTCCACAGCCATGTAGCTTTTCATAGCCGCGGTCGATCTAAAACAGGAACTACTAAGAACCAAGCAATACCGGAGAGAGCGATGGATGCTTTGAGGTTTACCAGGCCTGCAGGGTTCTAAAAATACGTCTGATCTGAAAGGAGATGAAAGATGAAAAGGACCGGGCGTGTGGCGAGGCTTCAGGTCAGTAAGTATAAATGAGGTGAGTTTCAGTCCGGTCAGGGACTTGAGGTCAGGTCAGGTCCGTTAGGTAAGTGATGTCGGGTCTAATTGAGGAGGTGTTTCAGTCAGGTCAGTGAGCTGAGGTCAGGTCAAGACAAATCAGGTATACAATCAGAGAGGTAGGTCGGTATTGCAGCCGCTCTGGTCACAGACAGGCCGCCCTGATCGGCGGCGCCGCCCGATCCGCAGCCGGCGCTCTCTGGCGGCCGTGACCTGCAGCCGCTATTGAGACGTCTCTGTAATTACCAAGCTCTCCGCCGCGATGATTTCTGCACTCAATGGGGCGAAAACAGCGCGCAGAAGTGGCCGGGCGCAGTTCCCCGGCTGCTCTCCGGCTGCGGGGCGCTCCGGCCGGCACGACTGCTGAGTCGGCCACCGCGCCGGTTCCGGCCAATTACTGGTCCGGACCCGTGTCCGTATCAGCGGGATTGTGTCAGAAGCCGTAGAAAATTGCTACCTAGAACACACGCCCGATCGCGAAATCAGTCAGCTTGTCAGCCCGGCATTAGAGTTTGCCAGAAACCGAATCTGCGAAACGTGCAGTCGAGCATATAAATTTTACTTTATATCATTGCTAAGTAAGCTCGCTTCTGAGGACGAGAAGCTCGGCATTCTTCTCGGCCACCGAGTCTGTCTCAGTAGTGCGTGTGTAGCTAGGGCGTGCTTGGTGAACCGTATCTTGTCCTGACAGTCAGCCGAGCCGTCTTTATAGCGTGAGCAGACCTCAGAGAGACAGGCACGAATTTCCACTATCAGACATAAAATCACTGAGTGGTATTTTAGATTCTGCAGTTAGCGTTCAGTTCTGGGGCTGACTCAGATCTCTCAGAAAACTCTGAACTCACGACAGAGTGAGGTTCATGCAGATAAAGATCCAACTGGTTAGTTTGTTCAGCGAGGTCTGTCGTTGCCGTTTTATTGAAGCCGTTCAGGGCCAAAAAGAACAGGCGGTAGCGAGGTTTGCACGGGCAACCCAGTACCCGTATGTCTATATATAGCTATACGTTGAAGTTGTGCTGTATAGTGTAAAGAGGGATATGGGAAATTAAATGCGTTCTCTAAATATCGTTCAGAAATCAGTTCATTGTTTCCGGTGATACTCGTTTATGAAAAAGATGCTGTGTAAACGCCGTGCGTCTCTGTACTTATTACCCGTTCATATAATGCCACCCGCATGCTTTCGGGTGGTTCATTACGACTTGACCATTACAATTCAATGTCAACTCCCTCATTAGCATTTGTGAGGGGACCACCAGCCCACCCAGCCGCAATGCCGCGTGATAACGGCGTCACCAGACGATTACAAAACCCGGTAACCTTGCAATTAGCGCATAACAATATCTTATCAGTCGCAAGCAAATGATGCCATCGGCTTTTTTGCATCTAAGTATGGTATCGTAGATGACGGACAGGACATGCATTCTGAATAACTGATCTTTTGCAGACAGCTCAGCATTGATGAAAACAAGAAGGGTTTTTCTGTGAATTATCCTTAGATACATGACTGAAGATGACAGAGAGCTGAGGTGAATATTTATTAAAATTATATTATAACAATACTACACATTTTGTATTGTCTCGAAAAGATTCGGCATGCAGTATGGGTCCCCACTGCTAACAATGCCACATTTGCATATGCAACAGTGCACCGACCCACCTTTGTGAAGAGACGTGCAGAGAACGACGACGACCAGACTGAGCCAGTTCATGGCCGGTCCGCGGCTCCTCCGCTGTCCCAGTGTAGGATCTTGTTCCGTCTGTCTCACAAAGATGAGGAGAGGATGGCAACACCTTTACTGGTGATTGTCTGAGCTTCGGGCTGTCCACTCACTGTCTCTCAACTACATCAAATCTGGGAGTCAGGAATTCAGAGAAACATCGGCAGGTAGCTGTCTCTTACACACGGTGTCCAGAGGACAACAGTGCTCAAAACCTTCCTCTTGTCACAACATCGACAGCGAGCCTTTTTAGTCAATCTCTAGGTCAGCACCAAGTCTAGATCCCAGAGTCAGATGAGGGCAGCTCGCACCTGGGTCTTGTATCCAATCCAAGTCGGAATTTTTCACACCGGTCACTTCCCAAAAGCAGGGGCTGATGAGTCACGTGCCTGGCCTCTGCGAGTGGCCCAAGTACGGAAACGTTAGCCGACTTCGTATTATCACAAATTTCACTGTGTCTGACCTAGCCTCGACACAGGTCACCGTTTCAGTTCTGTCTGATCTTCTCCGTAGCTGTCTGACGCATCCAGCTTTGTCCCAGCTCCACAGCACCCTCCTGCGCACCGCACCTCGCCGCGCCGCTGCAGCCGGCCGACTGACGACAGTCCCTGAGTGCTGGCTGGAGCCGCCGAGACAACCGTGCAGCGGCGGCCCGCCGGTCCCCCGGGGCCGCCCTCCGAACCGCTCGAGCGTCGGTGTTGTCCAGCTGCCCTCACACGCAGACGGACAAATCGAATGTGCACAACTGAGGAAGCCGCATAAGATCGCCAAACGTCGGATCAAGGTACGATGAGGCGTGACACAATGTTGCGGCAAGGTCGTCTGAGAATATAAGTCGATGTTCCAGCGTATGGCACATGGATCTTGTTACTGCTAATGCCGAAGGTGGATGGCAAGCAAAAAAAAAAAATGTAGTAACCAGTGATTTTGTGTATCACCAAGCGAGGATGACGAATTTTCTTCACCACTGACTCCACTAAATGCCTAATTCGTCAGCTCGTCAGGTAGGTCTCTGGTCTTTGACCCGAACAATTCTTTTATCAGTCGTGGTTTCATTTCATTCGCACCCAAAGTGCGAATGAATATAATGGTTTTATATTTCCACCCAAAGTTGGAAATATAAAACCCCATAAAGTGGGATGTGCGGTGGCTAAGTGCGCCAGTATTTTAAGTTACAGCTGCTCGATTCATTTAAATAAGTCATATATTCGCATAGCCGTCGATTTGCGGCCGTGGAGCTGGTGGCCAGAAGCGGCCATTTATCACAGCGGCCTTCGTCGCCTATCTGAAATGACCACGGCACTGAACGTTCAAAATTCATTTGAGGACAACTCAAATGGGAGAGTGGAAGGACAAGTCTATTTTCCGGCTTCTTCGTATAAGTTGTGCTGTGTGTAGGTAAATGTAAGGCATGCCTTATGCAATTTGTCGTTGTGAAGACCAAAGCGATATTGTCGTTTTTCTATCCTATTCACCTAATATCCATGTTGGGTAAAAGATATTTGGTAACTTATACATGAAACCGTTTGCAACAATGATGTGTTCCCGAGGCCTTTGCAAATCGGATTCCCTTTCCTGACCGCAGACGCATTTATGTGTCTCTTGCCTGCCACCATCGTGTTTCATTTCAAAATTATTCCGCTGTCTGCCGATGGGATGCCCTCCGCCCAGCGATCCATCCGGGCCGTCGGGTTATGCTTCATGCTCCCCACCTCAATCTGCCCCAGTGACGTATTCCCGACCTCAATTCATCCTGTGATGAATTGTGATCCTGTGATTCCCCTTTTTGCCGTACGCTGCCTCCTGCAGTGATGCGTTCTTTGGTCCCTGGCCCCTGCCGTCTGCCCCGGTCCCCGGCTGGGTTTCCCACCCGGATCCGCCGTCACATCAATGTCATCCCTGCCGCCTGCGGCCTGTCTAACGTAAGCTTCCCTCATCCAGCAGTGATGCGTTCCCTGGTTCTTGCCGTCCGCCCCGGTGATGCTCCCCGCCTGGCTCTGTCCTCATTGACATGTTCCCAGCTTCAATCTGTCCCAGTGCAGTGTGTGCTGCCTGCCTTCCGGTGTGGTTATGCGCCCCGCCCTCAGCCATGATATATTTCCTGGTCCCTGCCGTCTGTCCCGGCGGTGTTCCACGCCTGGATCCGTCCCAGTGATGTGTTCTCTGCCTGGAGCCGCCCCCTCCCCCCCCCCCCAGTGATGTGCTCCCCGCCTTGGCCTGTCACTGCCGTGATGTGTTCTCTGGTCTGTCTGCCGCAGTGATGTTCTGCGCCTGGATCTACCCCCACCGATGTGTTCCCCGCTTCCAGTGATGGAGATCCGCCCGCAAGCCCCATCGATGTGTTCCCCGCCGTGCGCCACGTGCCCACTGTCTCGGCGCCGGTGAGCGACGAGCGCGCCGGTATCGACGTCGGTCGGAGCTGTGGTAAACGGATTACCGCCCGGTACACGCGGCCCGGGCGATACATCGATGGGCCGCAATACCGGCATGGCGCAGAGCACCGTTAGAGGAATTACCGAGCGCCTCTGCAGCAAACAAACGGAAGACGGAGTGGGGACAGAGCTCGATGGGGGCAGAACGCCGCGGATGTTATTTGTTATAGGACAGAAAATCCATGCATTGACAAAAAATGTCCAAAATCAAATGTAATAATCCCATTTTTATTTCCATCTTCATCACGCAAGTGTCATGCCTACAGGATCGGCGACGCACGTCGAAATGCGACCCATTTCAGGGCGTCGTTTAATTTAGGGGCCAACTTTAATCAAAAACACAACTTCTAACTAGGCACTGCACCTGTTTTTCCGCCCTTCTGTTGACACCCAGCGGTGTTGTCTCGTTTCTACAACGCGCTGCTGTTCAAACAAGCCTGTTGACAGTTGCTAGTTTCGCCAATTGACAGTTGTCTCCAGACGCCGTTCGCACCGTTCCGTGCCCGTGCGCCACTGGTCCAAAACAAGGGCCGCTAACTTCGAAATCGCCTCGCGCGCCGGCGATGGACCGTCTATAATTAAATGAGTCCGCGTCGCGTTCGCACTGGTCCTTCTCGAAGTTCTGGCAGCGGATGAGCAGTGGAGGGGGATTAGGTGATGAAGGAGCAAGGCGTCTTCAGCTTGTTTACGAGAAAATCGGGTAGTAAAAAATCGACGGCAAAATCAGCAGGGCAGCTTTCAGGCGACGAGGTTCATTTCGCTATCATTCTATTTGTGTCATGTTTGTGGGACCTCGATCACAAAAACATTTGCCTCTGGTAATTTTGGAACGATGTCAAACATGTTGTGGCTTCAAGATTTTGAACATGCAATCGCCCCATTACCTAAACCTACCCCGTTATCGCATCATATTATCTCATACGGTACAATACACGTAATTTTCTACAATCGTACAACACTCTAGTCCTAATCCGAGTCAAAAAGGTCCCAATTCAACATTTATCGGCAGGATGCTCAATGCTGCTATACTTCACCGCGTTTTGGGTATTCACAAGGCAGCAGAAAGAGCGCGATATCCCAGTGCAGGGTGCACGGAAGAACGCCCCTCCGTAGGCATATTTTATGAGACAGGAAAACATCCGTATCTGTATTTTCTGTACAAACATGTTGCAGTTACAAAGAGGAGCATGCACATTACTGACAAACGCACCACTAAGTGGAAGTGCGGTGAGCCCACCGCGCCTTTGATCACACGGTTTACGGAACACAGATCCGTCGTTGAACACACCTCGTCGCATGACTAGAGCAATGATGATGAAACGATGCGAATGCACACGATAGAGGAGCGCAGGCCACGACCGCTGGGTTTAGATGGTCCGTTTCCCCTCACGCCCCCCGTGCACAGAAGGAAGGGCGGACATTGGGCATAACAAACATAGGTGTCCTTTCGAGAAAGAACTGGTTGATGTCGAGGCGTATAATGATGTGCGTTCATTCTACAAACACATGCATTTTCTCAGGTATACATACGCATTCACACTATTCGAAACGTCATGAGCTTCACAGACCCCGCATGCACATTTAAAACCAGATTTGTCAGCATTCGTTACTTCATACAGTTCATGCTCAGAGCACTCGTCATGACATTGCGTTTGATGATCACAAACGAACTCACAGAACAGCGTAACGATATACCGTTCCGCACTGTTCATTTCAAATGTATGCACCTGTGCACTGTCCACTGTCACTTTGCACAACACACTGTCCTCGCATGTCATTAGACGCTCACGCTTGACATCGACTACCAACGCGGCACGAATTCCCACTTCTGCTGAGATGAGTCCTACCGTCGCCGCATCAGTAGGTAAGTTGAAACTGACGCTCTGGGACGGTCGCCAGCGCAATTCACGGTGCTTTGCCAGTCTGCCACTGCCATTTCGGGTCACTGCTGTCACTGCGTGGCGGCGTCTATGACACCCAAAGCTGACAGACGGTCACTGGGCAGGCATGGTCCGCGATATCACAGCCGAGTCACTCGCTCAGATGGGTGGCGAGACGACGGGAAGAACGGGATGGGAAGAGCTGAGATGATAGTTCAAAGGTCAGGGACTATGGAAGACCGACGTAAAATTCACTGAACGAGGACTCAACATGAACTTTGAAAAGATGGATCAGCTTGGGTAAATGAACGTGACAGCATACATGTTGATAAGACAAAACGCAAGATGGAATCAGGATAGGATGCGCTACGCCAGAGTCCCGCTGTTCCAGAGGTCCGCCACACAAGGAGTTGTCGTTGCCCCAGGGACGGGTTCACTACAGTCCCAGTCCCAGGGGTTCGCTACACCAGGTGTCCCCGCTGCTCGAGGGGCGGTGTCTCCGTGATGGCTGTCGGCGGCGGGCTGGCCAGCCTGGAGCACTGCCGGCTGAAACTGGACAGGGGCGCCGCGGCGGTGGCGGCGGCTGCCCTCCGCTGGTGCGGCAGCGTCGAGTAGTGGCGGCCGGGGCCGGCCGGCGGCTCCGGGGGAAAGTAGCCTGAGCCGGGCCCGCTCGAGTGCAGCAGGTCCGGTGTGGGTGCGTCTACAGCAGATGGACGGAAGTGCGGAGCTCGCGGCGGCTGCGTCACGTACGTCGTGTTCAGCTTGCTGCTCATCGGCTCGACGCCAGCACCTGAAACCGAACGACATGTCCATAAAGTTCTTACGCTGAGCGTAGTCCCTGAGCTGGTACAACTCATGGAAAGCAGTTAGAAGACGCGAAGTGAGACAACT